AGAGGGAGGCACAATTCAGCCCATAAAATGAAAAAAAAAATGCCTATATATATGTATATATGTACATATATACACACACGTATATATACACACATATATGTATATATACACATGTGTGTGTATATATATGTATATACATATATGTTATTTTCTCACTGAAATTTAATTTATTTAGTTTGAGATCTTAACTCCAATTCAATCAGCATTTACTATTCACTAGCTATGTGCCACACACAGGAATACCTGAGGTGAGACGAATGAGATAACAAGGGTTAACTAGGAAAAAAAGGTAGGAGACACATTTGCGTTCAGTGAGCTATTTGAGCATAGACACTTAAGTGTGGAATGGTGCTGTGTTATGCAGTGAGTATACGTGTGTGTGTGCCTGTGTTCATGTTAATAGGATAGTAGTAGTGGGGCAGGTAGGGTAATTACATTTCTTTTTTTTTTTTTTTTTTTTTTTTTGAGACAGAGTCTCGCTCTGCCGCCCAGGCTGGAGTGCAGTGGCACGATCTCGGCTCACTGCAAGCTCCGCCTCCCGGGTTCCCGCCATTCTCCTGCCTCAACCTCCTGAGTAGCTGGGACTACAGGTGCCTGCCACCTCGCCCGGCTAATTTTTTATATTTTTAGTAGAGACGTGGTTTCACCGTGGTCTCAATCTCCTGACCTTGTGATCCGCCCGCCTCAGCCTCCCAAAGTGCTGGGATTACAGGCGTGAGCCACTGCGCTCGGCCGGTAATTATATTTCTTTAATTTCGGAGCATGAAATCTATTGTGGATATTGCTGAGAAGTAATGCTGGGGAGGTAAGTTTACCAAAAACAAACAAACAAACAAACAAAAACAAAAACAAAAACAAAAAAAGCACACACCTTAAATTCAATGTAATAATAGTCTAACACTACGGAGAAATCTTAGAAGGTATGAAGGCATGGTCAAGTTACGATTGAGTTCAATAATTCTTCACAGTAGTAGTGATTTCTATAGCTCACAATAAAACTTATTTAATAGTACAAACATTGTTAAAATAACATTTGATTTTTAAAAAAAAATACATTGTTTTAATATTATTCAATATATCTACTTTAATAAATGTAAAAATGTCCCACAAATAAATGCAAAAAAAGACTAGTTTTTATTATTTTTTCTAGGCTTCTCTTGGAGTTTCCTTTTTATTCCACACATAGTTATAAGTAAAAATGACCATCAGGAGACAAAAGTGAATCCTTTCAAGGAACAAATTTATTCCTTAAATTGAAGGCTATAGTAATAACATTTCTATGTGAAAAAAACTATCACCTTCATAGATCTGGATACTATATGGATAGTCCAAAAGTGCATAAGTTTTGCACAATTCAAATAGTTTTTCAATCTATGAAGAAAATAAAAATATATTACCAGCAAAACTAAAGCAAGCACTATATTGTATCTCTGAAAGCAATGTCTGTTTCCTGTAAAGGTTTTTAGATGAAACAGTGCATACTTACTTTTCATTAACAATACATGACCACTGCCAACTGATATCCGTGACTAAAAACTATTTCCAAAAATCTCCTCTGGTGAGGAGAATTGACCACTAGAAAGATATCTGAGGATTTCATATTCCCTTAGCTGGACTCTTTTTTTTTTTTTTATTTTTTTATTGTCCATGATCATTGACACTTTATTTTACATTTTACTTATACTCATTTACATTTTAGTACCATCTGATTTATAAATATTCTAGGTAAAACAAGGGCAATCTTACATATTCTGGAAATTTCAAATCTGAGGAACATGAGTGTGAAATCCTCCTGAACCATCTCTCTCTCCTTCCCAGGTCCTAATAGCAGGCCTTGAACAGTGCAAAACAGTCTTCTTAAATACATTAGTCTTTCTTGTCATAAAAATATTTTCCTCTAGATACTACTTACTGTTTTTTTTTTTCCATTAATTCATAACCGAGTTTTCAGAAAATAATCTACATTTTTCACAACTTCTTCTCCTTTCAATTATTTAACTATAGTCTGGTTTCTATCTCTATAGTGCTTCCAAAACATCTTTCACAATGGCCGTCTAACTGAGAAATCCAATAAACCACTTACAACACTTGTCCTCTTTGAACTGTCTGGAGTTGATACTCATTGGCACTCTATTCCTTTGATTTGTAGGAATCTACTCTTCAGTAAATCTCCCTCAACTTCTAAATCTTCTCATTTACTTTTGTTGATTCCTGTTTGAGACAGCAGCAAATAGTGGTATTTCTGAGGGTTCCAACCTTAATTTTCTAATCCTCTTTCCATAAACCGACTCTTGTGTCCTGGTATAAAATGTACCTAATAAACTGTCCCCAATATATCTCTTGAGCCTTCTCTTCTCCTGTTGTGCATATAACCTTTTTCTATTCTCAGCTACCTTTATCTTTTATTTTTAGACCTATTCTCCTTTGATTGTGCTATACCCTCCTTTGAAAAAGATTTTCAATCCCTTCTTTCCTATAAAACTACAATATGTTTTCTAAAAATACTGTGAAAATGTGTCTTCATTTATAAAGCCTCCCACTCTCCCACTAGGAATCTTTCATTCATCTCTATTCAATTGTTTTCCCAGAGCAGTTTGGTCATATTTCTATTATAATAATTATCAAATGATATTTTAATTTTCTAAAAGCGATTCATCTTCCCAAAATGAATTTTAAGTTCCTCTAAAGTAAAAACTATTGAGATTGTTACAGCATAAAGACTGTAATGCAGTGTAAGAATTATAACCAGGGTACGGACTTTGGAATTCAACAGGACTGGTCTGAGTCTCAGACCCCTTCCTAGTGTGTGACCTTAATGTTGTAATCTATGAAAACGGAATAACAATTAGATAATAATAATACTTATGGTTAACAGTCTACACACATAAAGTGTGTATAGGATTTAACACAGTACATGGTACAGAGTATTTGCTAGGTCAGTTTTAGCTGTCATTGACTTCAAAATTTTACAGAGACTCACTCATCATAGATTATTACTAAATATTTAGTAAAGGAATTGATGAATAAACAATAACAGAGTGTAATTCTTCCTTGCTTCTTATATGGTTTAAGTAGGTGAGGAATACAGTAGAGTCGTCTTCAGTATCTGTGGGGAACTGGTTCCAAGACTTTCCTTGGATACCAAAATCTTCGGATGCTCAAGTCCCAGATAAAAAATATGGCATCGTATTTGCATATAAGCTATGCACACCCTCCGCTATATGTGTAACATCTCCAGATTATTTATCATACCTAATACAATGTAAATGCTATGTAAATAGTTGTTTTGCTGTATTATTTAGAGAATAACGACTTAGGAAAGTCTGCACAGAAAAATATGGAAAGAAAAAGTCTGTATGGGGTCAGCACAGACACAATTTTTCTTTCCAAATACTTCTGATTTGCACTTGATTGAGCCCACAAATGTGGAGTGTAGGGATATAGAGGGTTGATTGTATACACATTATGCCCACTATCAGAATAGATTTTAAGGCATAGAAGACCAAGGTACACACATTTCCAAAGATACAAACAGAGATAGAGGCACAAGTACACAAAAGTAGGAGAAGTTGCTCTAAACTCCCACAATTAATATATTTTTTCCTGGTTGTATTTATCAGTTAGGCCAATTATTTTTAAACTGTATGACTTTGATGATACTTAGTAAGAACACAAAGTGGAAAAAAAAATCAATGTGGGCTGCTACACCCGTGAGAGATTTTTATTCTCGTAACACAGGTACGTTCTCTGGACAGGGAGTCATCCTGAGATCTATTTTTGGGTGGGAAAGGTGGGCCTAAAATGGATATATTTTGCCCAGAATTAGTGAGACAGGGGCAGGACAAATGAAGACTGGGATTCAGAGGAAGTATTACTGGTGTTCTAAAATAGAAATAAAATAAGGACCTGAATCAATTTTTGGCCAAGGAGAACCTTAGATATACTAACTCTGAAATGTTAATGAATCTATTGTTCTCTTCATTCTTTTCTCTTGTTGCAATACCCAAGTTCAAGCCCTAATCACTTGTTAATTGAAGTGTGGTCAAACCTTTTGATGTAGAGTCCCTGTGGGTGATCTACAAGACTTTCCTTTACATACCAACAAGTATCACCTTCACAACAGAACTCCTTCAGCTCAAGCCTCTGCCTCAAGTCTCAGCAACTCATTATGAATAAAATAGTAGCATTTTGGTAATAAAATATCTGAATTTTAATACAATTGTGCTTTAAAACCACTACTAGGTACTTTGAGATTACTGGAAGTGATCAGATTCCAATCAGGGCTACTCATTATGATACTGGTTATTAAGGATTATATGCCAGATATGATTGATCTCTAAAGCTCAAAGGCACAATGCAAAAATAATTTCCAGTGTGATGAACATTGACAGTTACCCCAAAGGTGATCCTAGAATTTTCTCAGAAGAGATGAGTTTACTTTGCATATATGTTCAAAACACTACAAACTGAATCAAGAAAGAATGATTTAAAGTATTAAGAAACAAAGTTTCTGAAAATTTTTCAGACTGTAAAAAAGGTCTTACTCTAAGACTTTTCATCTGTAAAGAGGGTCTTACTGATGAAGGTAGGGCAGTTCTCAGTAAAATTTTGGAAAACAAAATATAGCACGTCATCTGTGTTTGAAATAAAAAGTCAGTTACTACATAAAAATTAGCATTCCAAATATAGTATGCAGAAATAGTCTTAAAACACCTGCTTCTCTACTTCTCTAATTAAAAGCTACTCTTTTCTAGCAAATGTATTTTTATTAAACAGTTCCATGAGCTTTTACATGTATTATATTTCTAGACACTCTAGCAGTCTGTGGTGCACACACTTGTTGGTGAGTGAAGCAAAGGTTAAGTGTGTATGACACAGATGAGCTCCGAGATTAAGTATACTCTGTGAAATGCATGTGGATGTTCATGATTTAAACCAATGAACTGTGGCCTGAAATGATGTCACACGAAGCGCAGCGGTAAGTGGAAGGTTAAACCTACTTGCATCTCGGCTCATTAAACGCAGTTAAAGTGCAAATCCCCTCATTCTGACAGTAGTGATCACAAGGGTTCTCTTTCTGGTCACAGCGCTGACTTTTAAACCCCACAGAGCATCTGCAGAATTTCAGTAAAATACAGCTAAATAAAGCGTCTGACTTTTTTGTTGCTAAATATGTTTTAAATTCATTTCATACAGAGATAGTAACATTTGAACGAAAGGTTCCCAGATATGCTCACTTCTCTCTCAAACACACTCATCACATGCTACTCTGACAAGGTCGGGAGCGGGATGCAGATGTGGGTTATACGTGGGCATCATCCTTCCAGTCAAACAGTGATGAAACTCCCAAGAGTGACCATGTAATCTGAATGATTTTATTTCAAATTTTCCACTCTGGATAATCAGATCATGGAGGGGGGAAAATATTAAATTCCAGATTTTCTCAGGAGCACTATGGATATACCCAATATTTTTCCTAGGTGTTGAGAAACCCAGACACTCAAGTTATTCTAAAGCAGCCAGGGGCTTAATAGGTTTACATAATAAAACAGTCTAAGTCTCATACAAACATCAAAAAGCATTATACATTTGAAAGAATATTACAAGTTCTTTTGAAAAAAATGGCCATAAGTACCAAAGGATTCATAAAAGATGATTATCTCTGGGCTTCACATATGAGAATAAGGTCAATAGAATTATTACAATTTTCTCTGGCATTTCCAAGTTCAAAGGTCTATTCATGTCTGAAATGGTATGATGCTAAGAACAGAATGAGCTCTTCCTCATGAAATCATTAGCAATTTGATGAAAGAGGAGATTCTGCAGCACATGAGCTGATGAGGGACAATACTTGATCAGAGATGTCCATGAAACACTCATTTAAAATTACCCCAGGAAAGGAGAATAAGAGAATGGGGATTTCATGTACATACAAAGGCTTATTATAAAATGCCCATGACTTGATTAAATACTCACAGACACACAGGTACATTTGTCTCCGGGTCCAGCTGGCATGTGCCACCATTGTAACAGTAGCCATCACATAACTGACAGCTAGAGGCAATCTTTCCATTAGTGCAGCTGCAACAACAAAGAAAAAAATTTCATTGTTATTGGCAACATTATTGCTGAAAACTGACATAAACTCTCTGTGGATGAGAATATTCATCATATAGGAGAGATGGAGTGGCTGGTTAAAAGGAAGTTTTCAGGACGTCTGACTCACTAGAGGCAGTTTTTATTTAATTTATGTTAGAATGATGCCATAAAATTTTCCTTCTGATAATTTTCAAATTTTCAACCAGTTCATTTAATATAAACATTTGTGCAAAAAAATATACTCTAATGTCTATCATTTACACTTCCAGGGGACATTAATATCAATATATTGTTGCTTTTTCATGTAAGTAGGGTTTGGTGACGTCTGTGTGAATGATAAACCACATGATCAAGTACTCTGGAAAAAAGTGCTTTAGCTTTTCTTCTAAAGTGGAAAATCTGTTTCAAAGAACGCTAGGACTTTTAGACCCCACATTTCAGAAAAAAGTGGAGGGTTATCCTGTAGCCACTTTTATTCCACTGTTTCTCTTTGAATATGTATGGTAACTAATGTCGAACTATTTTTATTCTAACATAAAAAACATGGAGTAGTTCACAACAACAACAACAACAGCAAAAGAACAGTTATATTATAGGGGCAATGTGCAATATGACAACAAAGTAATGAGACAGGCTTTCTTAAAAAATTACCAAAATGTTTCTAAGTTTAAAGTCACATCACATGTTAGGGATAAGAATAAATAACTACTGCTACATCGTAAAAATAAACATAATAATACTAGGAAAAACGCAGATATTTTTTACTTGCCATGTTACATTTTTTAAATAAATACTCAAACAATTAGATTGGACAGTGAAAACTGTTGAGTGAATGCAGAAATGTGCATCAACATTTCAAACTATCCAGGGACCTACTCTGTGGGTCAAAACCAGAATTAACAGCAGATCATGCTGGCAATTCTGAATATGTGGTCATGTCAGTATTAGCTGCTATGAAACAATCAATGGTATCACAGTGCATCTGGACATAACATTGACAAAATAATCCGGCTACAATATCGCTTGATCACTTTGATCCTCTCCACGATGGATATCTGTTGTAGTACGTCTGTCATAGGGTGATTTCTAATGATAGGTGAGATGCCTAAAAATAATTGGTTGGCATGTAGTTCATTTATTCTGTGCATGTTCATTTGACCTCATGTGGGTCGTGCAGCTACTGAAAATTACCTCAACTGCTTTTAACATTCATTGGTATTTAATCGGAAGATATTTCTGAAAAGCTTAGATTGTGAAATCACATTTCTTTTTCAAGATAAACAGGAGCAGTGAGCAGTGTAACTATGTATAAGATGTGAAATAAAGATATAGGGAAACAGAACAAGACATAGAGAAGGGGAGGGTGGTTTCAAGTTTGTACAAAGACTATCCCATCCTTTATAACCTATAGAGGCACCCCAATATGGATGCAGTGAATTAATAAACAATCAGTGGTATTGGTGTCTGATAGACTAAGTGCATCTAAGGGACTTTTACTTGTCCTCCGTGCCCAACCTCTTTGAAAATCCTAAGGTCAAAAAATTAGTTTCTTGTTTTATCAAAGGAATGGCCTCAAAAGGGAAAATTAGCTCATTATACATTAAATGATTTCCTACCAAAAAAAAAAAAGATAACTGCATAACAAATCACATCTAAAAGAGACTAAAAAAACTTAATTGATTGCTTTGAAACCTCTGCTTCCAATGGATACAGAATATGTTGCCTCTTTTTCCTTCTAAAGTTTTTGTTTGAATCCTAAATTGAAGATAGAAATTTGTAGACATTTTAAACGTGAAATACAAATAGTTTAAATCATTACAATACATCAAAGAGTGCAGCTCATATTTCATAATAATTTTCTTTTTAGAGGCATTCAGCACACATGCACACACACACACACACACACACACACACACACACAATATGTGATGTATCATTTTCCAAAAGTTAATTACTAGTTATTCAGTCCACACAAATAATTCCCATGGCAATGCTCATCAAAAAGACATAATTTAGGTTATTCAAGATTATGATCAAGTCTTTCCTCACCAGTATTCACTTTGATTTCCTGAAAAGAGAAAAATATGCAATTGGCTCTGTTTTAAAGATTATACTCACTATACTTGATAGAGTACCTATTCTACTTAACAGTTCATAGGCTGTTCATTTGAAACACAACTGCCTATTTGTAATCACAAATATACTTGATGGCTTGAATTTTCCTAATTAAGTAAAAATGATTAATTTTATTGCAATTTTGTTTTACTATCTGTTCTTTACCTATGAAACAGAAATTCCAACAGCACCGTAACTTCATTTTAATGCTAATGTGAAAAGTATTATAGAAATAAAAACGAACTTTAATCTTCTAACACATTTCAGAAAATCCAAAGAATTATGTTTATATTGTCATGTTCAAGTGTTATATAGCCTGTTTAATAAATCAGGTATTACTATACTCCCTATTTTAAAAGTTCCACTATCTCCTCATTGTTAGCAATTGTTATTTATCCATTCTTACATATACATTTCCAAAAAGACCATTTAAAAAACACAAACTCTTATGCTGTACCTCAATAGCCTGCTCATTGTGAGAATCTGGTGTTTCTGTTTAGGAGAAGGCATTTTTGACTGGATAGCAAGTGATACTGAGGGGCCCTGAGCTCTGCCCTTTCTTCCTTACATAAAGGGAAGAGGCTCTGCACATTCACATGAGCTTTTCCAAGGTAAAATGAGTAGGAAACTTTAGCTAACACCATTTCTCATATGATAGCCCATGATCTCTGGGGTAAGTGGAACAGAATTGTAAAGAAGATTCTGTAGCTTATCCTGATATGGTGCACAGGACATAGAGAACAATGTACTCTCACTAATTGAAATACAGTTCTGTCATGCTACAGTTTCATCACAAAGAACAAATGAGCTTTATGAGGAAACATGATTTGGATAGTTTATATGAAAGTGTGTTTCACTTTTATGTACTTATCCAAGGCAGATATTTATGTATCAATCATATTTTCAATTACTTTACTAAAAAATGTACTTTCAAATGTCCCAATTTTGCAGGTTTGTGTAAATGTCATTCATAATGATAATACAAATCATATTTAGAGTAAATTCTAAAATGAGAGTAAATAAAAAATGTTGATGTTATTTGTAATAAAATTTTATTGGGCCTTATTTGGCAGAGCAACATAACTCATCTGGCACCCTTGGCGAGCTCACAGTGGAAGCTGTGACATGGACACTTTATGGCATGCTTTCCTATCTCATATTCTTATTTATTATACTCCCAAGCAAGGCAAGTGATAGAGTCCAGTCCTGTATAAGCCCTTCCTTTAAAAAGCTGTTAAAAGAGGTCTGGAGTGAGGATTGATCTCTAACCTCAGTGGCATAGACTTGCTTCACAATAGAAACTGAATGGCACCACGCTTTAGCCGCGATGTTGTGTTCTCCATTCACTTAATCTTAAAGCCAAAGGGTAAAAGGCAGTGCAATGAAAGTCAACCTCGAAGATTTTTGTTTTAATTACTTCCCAGAACACATTATTCCTTCTGTTTGCTTTAGATCATAATGTTCAAAGTCAGATTAAAAAAAAAAAAGAAGGATCAATGTGTGTTTTCAATAGACAGGTCTTTTGCTCCTCCTTTGACAAATCAATTCGCAACAGAAAAGCAAACCTGCTTACTGTCAATAACATTGATGAAACAATTAAAAGCCTGAGCTAATCTAATTGAATAATATTACATGTAGTTTTTGGAAGTATGCTGAATGCCAGCATTTCTTGCTTAGGAATATTTGGTATAGGGAATAATATGACCATCTTATTACATAATAGATTTTCATAATTCCCAGATATTCACAATAGATGTTGAGTAAGTTCAGGTTAAATTAAAATGAACTAGATTTACTCTCTAGCCATTAAAACTACAATGGGCACAATACAGAATTTTAGAATAAAAACTATCTACAAAGTTTTTTACAATTTATTACTGAACTGCAATGTCCATTGGGGTCCAAATGCTTTTATAAATTAAGCTGGATATCCACTTACTTGCAAAGTATATCTTCACTGTCTTTATTTATAATGCAGTGCCCCCCATGGCACTTTACACACTTGTCAACCTCACATTTTGGTCCTTCATAGCGTGTTGGACAGACACATTCAACACTTCCATCATCCCCAATGGTACATGATTCAGAATTCACACAATAGTAGTGGCACACGTCTAGGAAAAAAGGTACAACAGAAAAATAAAATTATATTACAGGACATTTTTCTTCAGTCATAATAAAGGTGACCCTTTCATTTATTACTTAAAAATGATCAATCAATAGGTAGATTAATTTGTAAAAACAGCTTATAATTACACATAAAGTAGAATTCTTTAATAATGGCTATTGATTCTCCTCTTTGAGTTAGGCATCATTTTCCTCTGGCTAAGAGGAGAGAGCTTGTATTGCTATAATGCTAGCTGACAAACTCGTTTGGTTCTGAATATTTAAGTTAACAAGTTCTCTTCGCTTTCTTTCTAATGAACAACATAAGTATAGTTTGAAATGAACAGAAATGCTTAACATTTCTTTGGATGTCATTTATTGTTGCCTCCTTCATTCCTCTTTTCATCCAGAGAACAGAGTAATGTTTGGTTGTTGGAGGTCGAAAGAATGAGGGTTGTGATCAAATCGGTATACCACTGAAGGCTACACGAGTAAGCCACAAACTGTTTCTCATAAAAGCAGAATGTTGTCAAACTGACAAACTGTGTATGCCACCCAGAAGAACTGCTGAGGGCAGTCATGATCCAGGCACAAATGTTTCTTATGATTAGGCATAATTGAAGCCTGCCAGTAACAATATGAACCTGTGATCAATTAAGCAGCCGACCTGCTCTTGTTACCCAATAAATACGAAAGGCTATAGAAGCTTGGCAGTTGCCTTTGCTCACTAGAAGCAGGGAGCTCTCTTCTTCCTCCCTTGGCCCTTTCCTTAAAGCAGTTTCTTTTGTCTTAAGTTTTCATTTCTACATTCGCTCCTTCATTCAGTCTTGTAATGACGGTCCCAAGCAGTAACAGTAGTAAGGGCTGTGATGACAGTCTCAAGCAGTGACAGTGGCAGTCAGCCACATGTGGTGAGCAGAGGACTCCTACCCCTGCACCTGACTTTAGTTTGTGGAAATAAGCCTCCCTGTACATGTAGCAGAACAAACCCAGGTATCTTCTGCGTGCCTAAGCAGGGGAGCAAACGACAAGTTATAACTCTCATGGAACTGCAAGAAGAAAGCAAGCTGGGAGACTAACTGATCCATCATTCATGGGGAATAATAACAGAAATCTAGGCTATTATCCTTTTCTAAGGTAAGAGACTAATCTTCCCATCAGTCACGAAGCTCCCTGTAATCTGAACCTATTGTTTTGAAGGCCATTTCTCATTGAGCATCAGAGACAATTTTCTCAATTACAAAGGAACATTTCAACCAAATATTTCTATACCCCTTGAACATGCATAATGAAACAAAGATCAGTTAATAATATAACAAGCATTCTAACAATAGAATTAGACATTCTGCTTCTGTCTTTTGAAAAGCAAACATGTCTATGTTTTTATATATAGATATATTATCATTTATCATACTTAAATATTGAAATTAATAATACAAATGATCCTATGCAAAATAATTGATTAAATTGATTCTAGACTTTGTGTTTAGAAGATGTAATTTCTTTCTATTTAAATGTGAAGCAATATTAGATTAGCTGAGATAAAAATCACAATTTATAAACTTCATCCTGCTATATAACAATTATAATGGGTAAGAAAAATTAAAACATAATTTATAATTCTCATGTTTACGTTTATCTAGCCCTTTATTTAATCAGAGAGAAATTTATTGACAGACTTGCTTCATATTTATGGAAATTTATTTCAAGCATTCCTATGCTTGCCGTTGCACTATGCCAAGTACCTTCATTGAGATTCAGGGTTTAAGTCTGTTAATGAGGGTTTTGGATATATTTAAGACATACAACACTTTCAAAAGGTGAGAGAGTTGGAGATCTGAAATTTAACATAGTGTTAGTAGCCATACATTATGGTTTCTGTAGTTGTGTTCTAGGCTTAGAAGGCATATGTACACAACACAAATGCTGTTGTTCTTTATGAAGAATGTATCAACAGCAGTCTATGTGATCATCCAGGACAGCCTCCCATTCAATGAAGAAACCTCTGAAGAACAACCTTCTTTAGGCAGGTTGCAAGATACCTCTAATTCATAAAAACTCTTTTAATATTGCCCACAACTGCTTTAAAATTTCATCCACTGGGGCTGATTAGCTGTCTGATGAAACAGAAGTCTGCTGATGTTTCTTTGCAACATTTTCTTATTATGTCATTATTCAAAGGTTGCCATGGTGGATATAATTAATTATAGAATCATATAGGTAACTTATTTGCAGATGAAAATTCCAGTGCCTTTCCCTGCCACCCACTCCTAGATTTTAATTCATAGGTCTGAAATGCGGCCCAGGTAGTTCCCATGGGAACTAGAAAATGTAAGAAATGATGATCTGGAGAGAATTTTACTAGTTGGCAAAGGGACTACATTGTCTAATACTTGTAAATAGATTTGATTTGACCAAAATAGCTTATTTATTAACTAACATTGAAAACCAAAATTAAAATGTAATTTCTCATGTAAAATTTTGAAGCACTTTGTTTTTATAACTATACCCCTGAAAAGACCCAAATAACTAGAAGAAAATGGGTTAATATTTTGAAGGTTGATGAATGTCCAGGACCACACTCCAGCAAAGAATAGTTTGCATTTAATGTAAAGTACTAAAGGTCAAAGTTAAAAAACTTATCTGCAGTATGCTCATTATAAGGTTTTTTTTTGCATAAATTAAATCTTAGATTTATATTAAAAAGATGGGCTGGGTGCGGTGGCTCACACCTGTAATCCCAGCACTTTGGGAGGCTGAGGTGGGTGGATCATCTGAGGTCAGGAGTTCGAGACCAGCCTGACCAACATGGAGAAACCCCAACTCTACTAAAAATACAAAAAATTAGCTAGATGTGGTGGCAGGCACCTGTAATCCCAGCTATTCAGGAGGCTGAGGCAGGAGACTCACTTGAACCCACAAGGCAGAGGTTGCAGTGAGCCAAGATCATGACATTGCACTCCAACCTGGGCAACAAGAGTGAAACTCTGTCTCAAAAATAAATAAATAAATAAGTAATAAAGAATAAAATGAAAAGATGTGGGCCTGTACATAACTCACTAGTAATCAAGGAGATGCAATTAAATTAGCACTTCAATGAAATACCATTACACACCCACCAGATTGATAATATAATAATAGTGGAAATTCTCATCTACTACCCGTGGGAGAGAATATTGGTTCAACCAATTTGGAAAACTGTTGGCAGTATCTCCTAAACTTCAGCATATGAACACCTTATGACCTGACATTTCCGCTGTTAACATATACCCAAAAGAAGAGCATGCACATGTATGTCAAGAAACATACATGTAATATGCACAGCAGTATTTAAAAAAACAGCCCAAATTTTAAAAAGTCTAAATGTCTGTCCCAAGAATGGATAAACTATGGTTCATTTATACAATAAAATGCATGTATACAAACACACAAAATACAGCTATAAGCAAAAATATGGATGAATCTCACAACAATAATATTGAGAAAAACAGACACAAAAATATATTACATTTTTAAAAATTTATATAAGGTTCAAAAGTTAAATTGAATCTATGGTTTTAGAAGTCATGAAGGATTTATCTTATGGGAGACGAGAAAGGACAGTGATGAAGAACATGAGGGAACTTTTGCGGTGCTGATAATGTTTTTCTTGACTTGAATGCTGATTTAAACTGATGTGTACACCTTGTAATATTTAATTGAACTGTTTCTTGTGATTTTAAACTTTTCTGTGTATATTACACTTCAACAGAGAATGCTTTTTCTTTTAAATAAGAGGTACATGAGCTACCTTAGAATGTTTTAGAAATTCTCATTTATTTAGCTAACTAGGCTAAATAGTTTTTCTCTTTGTAGGAACAACTTTTAAAAGATATTCATGGTTCACTTTTTATGCTTTACAGAAAATCCTTCACTCTTTAATGCATCCAACATTTTTTTCATAGCATGTCAGATATGCATTATTCAATGCAGTTGATTGGCCTCATGGCATAAAAATAGAATCCAAGACTGTAAAAGAAATGTTTGCTTATGATAAAATTGGGGAAAAAGAGCAAATATTAGAATTTACACTTTAATAAATAATTCTAAATTGCATGTTTTTAAGCCATACCATTTTTTCCCCTCTAAAAATGGCAGAAATCATTTTATGCTCTGAACCCTTTCTCTACAGATATTCAAATGGGAAGACATTTCATTTCACCCAGTTCACATTCTTAACACTCCATGCTGAGTTAAAATTCAAGGGCAAAGAGTTGCTCACTACATTCCAGCCCTGGCAGAGTTGCCTCCCATTGCCTTGCTGTGAAAATCTTCTATCTCCAGTTATTTGGCTTAATATTTGAAGCATATGGAAGCTGCTGAGTTAGATGCTTGGTTGGACTGTTTTCTGCACCCCAGTTAGGATTCTAGGGCCTATTCTTTGACGTTTATGAAATGCCTTTGTCCCTTTCTCTTGCCTCCTACCCTCTCCTCCCTCTTTCTCTCTCTCTCTCTCTCTCTCTCTCTCTCTCTCTCTCTCTCTCTCAATCTCTCTCTCTCTCTCTCATCTTAAGGGCTTTCCTATTTACTCATTTCCCACTCCAAGACTCCTGAACACAGCAGAAAGCAGATCTTACTTAATAAGAGACTTTAGCATCTGATATTTCGGCTATGACACAATCATTGGATACTTGTAAATTGTAAAGCAAAATAATCTCTTCAAGCGTCCTCTGTTATTTCAAATGTTATCATGGTGCATGCTATGTGCAAGTCCAGGAAAGAGTTTGAAACATCTGATGGTGTTGTCTATTTCTAAATTGGGTGATTCAAACAAAGTCCAGATTTTCTGTAATTGACTCAAAGTAATAACTGCAATATTAGTAAATCATAAGAATGCTAGTTTAATTTATCTCTCATTCCCTTCACATCTATAATGCACTTAGAATTACAAGAATCTGTGTAAACTTGTATAAATATGTGCCATATTTTCATGAGTGTCACCTCTCTATATACTCTCACATAATTACTA